TTTTATTATTATTCATTTATTTGCATAATAACTAAAGGGGTCGGTACAGAAAGCATCACACATTCACATAGGATACGGAGAAAGCCACACTCCAAATAGGGACATATGTATCTTGTTGCACGCGATGTCACAGGACACCTCTTTGCACTGATAATGCAAGGTAGAATTCACGCATCCCCCAAAGGATATGATATAAACAGCCTAACGTAATACAAGCTAGCATTCACACAAGGTTAGAGGAAGCGACGTACCCAAAGGGTATGATATAAACAGTTTACGATTTGAACCTTTGAACTATAGGTCGAACGAAAATATCTTTACCGTTTTTACATGACTCCGTATTTATTTATATATTAATGTAGTACATATTATTTGTATAAATATAATATGAAAACAAAAAATAACTTGTCAGATATAGCTGTAATGGACCCTCATGGTTTTTGGTTACACGGTTAACGAGGAGATCTAATAAATCGGAGGAAGTGAAGACAAGTTTTACGAATTACGATTTGGATTTTGTGTGCGGCGGAGGAGGGGTAGTTTTGGTATTTCAGTTAGTTGTTATTTGGGGCTAGGGTAGTGTGTCAATTTATCCTTGGAATGATTTTTTGGCAGGGGTTTGTGGGGAAAATCGAAATTTCAACATTGAGTGGATGTTGTTTATTTCGAATTATTTTTATGTTGTAGCTTTCCATTTTTTTCTTGTTTTTTTATTTGAATATCTAGGATGGAGTTGAGTAAAATAAAATCTTTTGGGGGGCAATAACAAATATTTGGTTAATCATGAATGAGTTTATGACTTTTCCAAGTTGGATCAATCAATAAATAATGTAAATTGAAATTAAATAATAGAATGGATAATATGTTAGAGTCGAGAAATTAAATTTATTATATACTCCTATTTATTTTGTTGGATTATAATTGTGTTTAGTAAAATTACTTGTTGATATGTTAAGTTACTTAAGCTTTTTCTTCGATATTTATTGTATCTATATTTTTAATTTTTTTTTAATCATTTGAATATTCATATTTACTAATCTGATTAATCATAATTTACACTACCCATCAAATTTCTTAGATTTAACTTGTTGGATAAAAGTATTCAATAAGATTCAACTAGTTGTAGCTTTTGTTGCGTACAACTTCACTTATAGAATAATCTAGTAATATATAATAATACTATCCATAATTATGTTGATAAGAATACAAGTTTTAGTAACATTTCTTATTACGGCAAGTGGACTTTATGATTGGTTGGGGTTATATACACCAAAAAAATTCTTAACATGGTAGGGTCTGTAATTAATCAGTCATTGATCACTCTTTAATCCAATCCATAAATTCAAGAAAATGTCACTAAAAAAATCTAAATATTAAACCCCATCTTCACCAATTCTACACGCTAAAATTATCATTCTCTAGTAATTAAGAAAAAAGTGAAAAAATCAATAGAAAAAAAAAAACATACTTCAAATGATACCATAAGCAAAAAATTAAAGTCACTACAAATTATAAAACTATAGCAATCAAAACCCTTTTTAAAAAATAAAAATAAAATTAACGTGTCAATCTTTCTTGGAAGAATAACTATAATGGTGGGTCCAAGTATAAGCATAACAACATCTTTTAATTTTAAGGCTAAGGGAATAATAGCTTTACATGGCCCATTAATGAAAACATATAGTAGTAGATTACTACATTGATTAACAAAAGGATAAAACAAATGTATTACCACTATTTCACCACTTTATACAAAAGTAACAATCAAGTTTATATCTTCCAATGAAATGGTAAGAAATGGGCTCAATGAAGGTGGCAGAGTCACGATTTTTATTAAGGGATTAAAAAATAAAAAAATACGGAGAAGCCAAACGGATTTTATATATATATATATGTATATATATATATATTCACGTAAATTTTTCTTTTACCTTATATATACGGTATAATTTTCCGACAAAGGGGTCCGATGAACTTCCATTGCCACTGAGTGGGACCCATACTTGAAGTCTTACGTGAGCAACTATATATAAAAAAAAAGATGCTCTTGTTTCACCAATATTGACAAATAGATAATGGTTCCATGTTTTAAATGTTTAATCATGAAATTAAGGGTTAATTAAGGGAGTTGCATTTAGTTGGCTGGTCTATTTAGATTTGCCAAGTGGCAAAAATTATCACAACTAACATGTTTACGTAAGAAATATAATAATAGCACAGTAATTATTTTGGCTTATTAACTTTCAATTACTATGTGAAGTGGATGATATTCTAAACTTGGCTAAGTATTTTCAATCATTTAAGGGTTGTTGCCCAATGACATCTACTTACCAATCCGTAGCTTACGTTGGTAATACTTTACTCATTCTGTTGTATTATTTCTTTAAATAAAATATTTATGTTGATTGTTACTTAAATTCTTGTGTATCGTATTGCTAAAAAGTGTCATTTTACATAACAGTCAATTTGGTATGGTCGCATCGTTAACTTATTTTTTTCATCCCTTTCTTATTATTAAATAATTATATTTTATCCTTTAACTTACCTTACCTTACCTTATCGTATCCTACTTTTTATTTGTAATATTGTAAGTTTGTTCTTTATATTACTGGTGCGTGACATCATGAAACGACAACAAATAATAAATTCTATTCAAATGTTATATTTATTAAAATAATATAGTACAATATAACTTGAAATAATATGTAACAGTGTCCAAACAAACTATTAAGCTTTGAAGATACGCAAAAGAGACAATAAATTATAAGTAGAATTTTGAATAAAAAATAGTTATTTTGGAAGAGCTTTCCCAAATTTGAGAATTAATAAGCGTATAATTTCGTAATATTATTTATTTGTGAACTTATAATTCTATAACAGAATAGATGCTCATCATCCTTGTTGCTTGAGAAAATTCGCCTAACTCTTATAATCATCATTTGATGACGACTTTAATGTCATGATATTAGGATGTTACATCAATATTCCCATCTATTTTTGTCATTTCTTTTTAAAGAAAAAGAAAACAATGCTCCATTTATATTGTTTAGTTTGGTAAGTGGAACGAAACTATGCTTCTCTAGGATCTTGAGTTTTTTTTTTTTTTTTTGGTTTATTNCAATGCTCCATTTATATTGTTTAGTTTGGTAAGTGGAACGAAACTATGCTTCTCTAGGATCTTGAGTTTTTTTTTTTTTTTTGGTTTATTGTTTCATTTATAATGGCGATATTTTTATTTAATTTGTATTTACTTTGATTATTTTATTCGGTACCTCTTATCTCCTATTATTACAGGTATCACATAACTCTATACTAAGGCTTGGACAAAAAAAAAAATTAGTATTTTTTTGTCTCTACTAACATTTGAACTATTTTCTTTAAAATTATTTCTTACTTTAATTTATTGATCACTAAGTCACGTTCTTAAGTTTTTTTTTGTTAATTGTTCTAATTTCGTTGTCACTTTCACTATGTTATGTCCAAAGAAATATTTTAGCTGGATAAGTTTCTCACATCATATCCTTTTCTAATTTATATTTTCAAATGAGAGTTGATAATATTCAAAAATTGAGGGTTTCGACCCAATTTTATACTAACAATGTGTCGTTAATCGAAAGCTATAATAATTTGATTATATTCATCAACTAGACTACCAATTATAATAAACAATTCCGAAAAATTTCTACTATAAATGACTCGTTCAAATTCAATGAGGAAAACTCACCTAAGCCAAATTAGACAAACCATGCATAATATTTGTGTATTTATTAATATCACAAGGAATCGTCTAATGATAGTCAAACTAATCATGGCTTTTAATATAACTAATTAGTTTTATTTAACACTATTTAGCATACAATTCATTTAATATTTTAACATTTTAATTTTATTTTATTTTTTTTAAATTTTAGATAGACAACAATAGTATATTTGGGGTTGGGAAAAGTGAGGTGTATAGCCCCCCAACTTTACACAACTAATGGGATGCCCACATCATCAATTATCTTCCAAAGAATAAAGTGTAGGATAAGCATGTCAAGTAAGTGGCGCATTTTAGCACCAAGCCTTTACTTTTTTACGCGCCGATTAATCGCCAATCTTCCTACTTAGCTTCCTTTAGCTCGTAGGCCGTATTATCAAAAGCATAGATACCTTTTCTTTTTCTTCTTTTTTCCTACTTCTCCATGTGAACTGAACCAAAAACAACTGGCATTTCCCACAACCATTCTTTTTCTTTTCTTTTTCCTTTTCCACTCTATATCTACTACTACTACTAGTATGTAACTAGAGAACTAGTACCTAATAAGGATATAAAATTTAAAATTTATGAGTTGTATGTTAGTTACATTAGATTAATATAATGAATTTTCTAATAAAAATAAGAGATTTACTTTTACAAATAGCACAATTAAAAGTCAATTGGTTTTGTGGCTCTTTACAAACTTATTTTTAGTTATAAGTATGACCCTATCTCTTTTTTTACACATGAAAAATTTACTTTTACACGTAAGATATCTGTCTTTTACACATAAAAAATCTAAAAAAATTATTTTCTTAAATTATAAATTGTAAATAAGCATGGTGTACAAATAGCACAAATGCACAAATAAGACTAAGCAAAATTTACTGAATTCGTCGGACCCGTACTTAATATTATAGCTCCATCTTAAGTAGTATTCTTTTGTCTCATTTTATATGGCACAATTTTAGTTTTATTTTATCATAAAAAAATTAACATCTTTCCATATTTAAAAATAAGTAACTGTAATTATGGTTACATTATATTATTATAACTGCATAGTGATAGTGAACAAATGAAGCATCTTAAAACACTGTAAATGGTTGAGTCATTTTCAATCTTTATAGAAGCAAAGATATTACTATTAGACAAGAAATGATGTAACAAATTTGTATATTGTAAAGTGTAACATCTGAGAAATGCTTAATTTTATGAATAAATTTATTGCAAATGATAAATATGAGATGATTTTGATTTTTTTCTTTAGCTTTTGTATGCTTTTTCTTCTCAACCTTCCCACTTGGATGATGAGATAATGATGTACTCCAACCTCAACAGCATATGCTCCAACACCCAAAAACTCGAGAGAGAGAGAGAGAGAGAGAGAGAGAGAGAGAGAGAGAGAGAGAGTGTTTTTAGAAAATAAAGGTACTTTCTTTTTATCCCACAAACAAACTGATCATTCATTCCAGTTGTTTTTGCAGTGAAACACAACTGGGATTTACCTCATTTCTATCCATTATGAGATTTTCTGGCAAAAAGTTTTGATCTTGATAGCTTCTTTTGCTTTTCTGTTTGCTGCTCTACTGTTGGGTGAAAATAGGAGCTTGATATAGAAAAGAATCCAGAGGGAACTGAATATAGAAAAAAAAAACTTCTTTTTTCTGTTCCATTCAGTGATTCCATTACAGTTTGCCAAAATAACATCTGGGGTTTTTAACCACTTGCTGTCTTTGTCTTTTGATGGGATTTTATTGCTTCTTGAGTGAGCAAAATTCAATCTTTTTATGTTCAAGAATCTGTTTTTAATCAATTTCAGAGGTGGGGTTTACAGGAGTTTTGAAGATAATCAATTTCATTTTTTTTTCCTTGAAATTATGAGCTGTGTTTGTAGAGAATTGACTGAAATTCAGCTCAATTATTGAAGATAAAGTGTTGTTCTTGAAGGGGTCATTGACTTTTAATGAGCTTTTCTGCTTTAAGTGGCTTTGCTCTTAAGCTGTCAAGGCATTTTCTGAAGATATGTAGGTGGATTTTATTAAAGATGTCACTAAATTGCAAATTGTTGGGAATGAATGGAAGCTTCTCTTCAAGTTTTAGGCTTAAGAAAGCCAAAGAGTCTTTGCAAGTACCAAATTGTGGGTGGAGTTTGCAAAGAAAGCTTTTGTTTTTGTGGCTCATTTTCTTTGGTATTGGATTTGTTTGGTTGGTTATTAGCTTAAATGGTGTGGTTTATAGTTGGAAGCAGGAGAGTTCAGAACCAAATGAAGATAAATCTGATTTTATTCTAGAACATTTCAATGTCACCAAGCAGCAAATTCAAGCTTTAGCTACCTTATTCTTTGAAAAAGATCAGGTATCCTGCAGTTACTTTGAATGCTTTTGGTGTCTTTTTCTTTTGACCTTTGAATAGTTGCTGCTATGTATATATTCTGTTCTGTCACAACTAGTAAAATTTTCTGCAAGGAGAAGGAAAATTTAGAAGATTGCAGATGTAGTGAGAAGGTAGTTAGAGCTATTTCAATTACATTTAAAAAAATTAGCTATATGGGGTTAAGTTGCAGACTTTCTGTGTTTGATCTTAACTGCTGAGAGTCTTTCATCTGAGTGAAACCTTATGGCATTTTAAGGAAACCCGCAACCTATTCATATTTATTGAGGTGCTGGTATTTGTTAAGGTGCTGGTTTCAAATTGGGAAAAGAGTTCCTAAGTTCTCCCGGTATAATCGTGGATGTGGGCATCCAGCATTTCCCTTCCGACAATTTGTTCCTTCTTCTTGCCTTTTGTTTGTTACTGTTCACGTGGAGTTAAATAGACGCTCTAACTTTTCTTCATTGAAATTTCACTTATTTTCATTTTTCAGTTAGCACCCTGTAGATCAGATAGGCAAGGTGAATGTTTGAACTTGGTTGGAAGTGTTTGATACTTCGTAAAAGATTTAGTCCAATTATAGGCATTGCAATCATTGAAGAAAGCTTCCTTCCGTAAATCAATATGCAGCTGGAATTTGCTCCTCCTACATTGCTAATGTGTAATGGTGTGGCTCTTATGGTTATATTCCCATTTTTGCAAATGGGAAAGCAGTTTGGAATTGCGATTTCCTTAGAAGGTGAAAAACCAAAATTAGTTCTTAGGTAATAACATATCTCTAATGACCTACCAAAATTTATTGCAACTGTTGCATTGCCTTCTGAAGCCACCTATTGTTTGCTTATTCCCACATGTAACAAAAAATTGTCGGCAGAAATTAAAATTCAAAATAAATATCCCTCACTTAACATCTTGATTAGAAAAAATCGAATATTTTAAACACCTTCAGAAGGTATTATCTTTGAGAACTTCCTCTAGTTATCATTAAAGTTAGCTAGTTTGTAGAGTAAATTTGGAACTCATAAGCGCACTCACCTTACCTCCTGTAAATTTAACATCGTGTACAAAACAAACGTTTCAGGCTTGGCTGGGGGAAAGGGAGAAGAGATGAGTGAGTAGAAAAGAGATGGGCAAAATTAATGAAGGGAGTTTTGCCATAGGAAATATAGCTATTGCTTTCTACTTTGGATGGCAGCTTTAGAAATGTAACCTGAAGTTCTGGAATAACATGATAAGCGTGGCTTGACGTGTTGTATTACTTGAATGTCACTTTTACTGCTCCCTTTTTTCGGTACTACCTTAGAGACTTTGCTAATATTTGATTTCTGAATTATCAAAAAGAAAATTGTTGTCGAAGGGAAAAGAAAAAAGAGGTCATCTTTTCATGCTGTTCCCTTTCTTATGCTTAGCGATTAGATATCTCTGTTTATAGTAATTGACCTCAGTGATCTTAACTGTGTAGATTTCATCCTTGAAATGCTCAAAAGGTCCTGTGCAGGAAATGCCTATGAGTACTACCATTACTTGCCTTCTCAAGGTGCTAGGTTCAGAGAATCTGAAGTACGAGCAGCAATATGAGATGGCCGTAGAGAACTTTCAAGCAAAAGGCCAGTGCCCAGTTCCAGATGAGGATGCACTGAGAAATAGTGACATTTCACTAGATGACAAGTCGTTGCCATTTGTTTTGCATCGTTTATCTTCACTAGTCTCAGCAGATCCTCAGTTCTTTCAAAAGGTGAGCCCTTATGAGTGATTAGAAATTGATCTTTAAAATCTTTGCCTTGCGATTGACGAAAATTCCATCTCGATTTTAGTTGGTTATGTTCATGAAGTCTTTGCACAAACGAATAGTTTACTTAATTGGGGCTCTGTATATTCTTACTTCTCTGTACATTGGACTTTATGGCCAGGTAGTAGTTGTATCATTTAAAGGCCGACTTGCTGATTGGAATTATCCGGATTTTAGTACACATATTTGTATGTACACGTGCACTCTAACTACTACCAATGTATGGCAAGAAGTTCCAACATGCTTTTGTTCTAATGTGTCAATTGTCCTCTCCATGTAAATAATTTGCGTATTCAACATGTGGTCTGAATAATGAGAATATTAAACCTCAAGAAGTGCTTGCTGGATTGGTAAACCCTGTGATTATCTAGATCGCTCACCCCGTTTTTATGTGGTTCATTTATATCAGAAAGCATCACAAATAAGAGAAGTTGGGAATCATAACCCAGATCATTGTAATAGTATTGCCTTCTGTTTCACAAAACTATGCTGGTGGGTCCTTCTCGGGATTGTGGTCAGCTGGAAGATGCTTCAGTTGTGTACAAAATGTGGGGAAAATCAACAGCACAGCTTCATTCAGCAGCAACCACTGTCTCAACAACTTCATCCGCTACAGCAGTTGCAGCAGCAGCAAGCTTGGATTTCCTCTCGAACTGGTGGGAAGTGGAGGAAAAAGCTTCTTGTTATCTTTGTCTCTGCTGGGGTGATCAGTGCCATCTGGTTGTATTGGTACATGAATGCAGACATTGCATTGAGAAGGAAAGAAACACTGGCAAGCATGTGTGACGAACGAGCGCGAATGTTGCAGGACCAGTTCAACGTAAGCATGAACCATGTTCATGCATTGGCTATTCTTGTTTCCACATTTCACCACGGAAAGCAACCTTCTGCGATAGACCAGGTACGATTATATCTTTCATTTAGCTTTGACTCTTATTATATGTGTTCTTCCTTGCCCCCCTCCCTCTTCGGTGGGAGCAGGCTTAGGCTTTTTTGTAGCAATATGGTATGCTGTTTATCCGATTCGAGAACTCGTGCTAAATGATTGAACTGGAATAGTTATACTAGGAACTGCAACTTGCAGTTTTTATAAATGAAATAAATCAACAGAAACTATCATTTAGACAAAGTTTCTATACCACCCCCTCTCCCACCGCCAAAAAATGACAAAATGAGAAAAGGTTAAAGCATGATAAAGTGGGAAGTTGGAAGAGTGTATGAGTTTGTCTTTGGACTTTGAAAGTAACTATGATATTATATTCTTGTGTTCTACAGAAAACTTTTGAAGAATATACCGAGAGAACAGCTTTTGAGAGGCCACTTACAAGTGGTGTTGCCTATGCTTTAAGGGTTCGTCACTCAGAGAGAGAAGTGTTTGAGAAGCTGCATGGGTGGACAATCAAGAAAATGGAATCCGAGGACCAAACTTTAGCGCAAGATTATATCCCTGCAAACTTGGATCCTGCTCCTGATCAAGATGAATATGCACCTGTCATATTTTCACAACAAACTGTTTCCCATATCGTCTCGATTGATATGATGTCAGGAAAGGTGTGCATTCTTAGTTAAAAATTCTTCTTCCTCTTTTACTAGTTTATTGAATATCATACTCTAGTAGTAAAACTGGCTTAGATGGTATGTGGGTTATAAATACAGATGACAATGGGTGAAGGAGGTTTTGGATGGTGAAAGCTTCACCTGCTACCAATCACCCCGTCCTTCGATGTCCCGTTGTGCTAGATTTTCTTCTCCTTTTGCCATTTTAATGTTTTTCACTAATTTTCTTAATACTTAACACCCACCCGCCAACCCCACCGCCCAAAAAAAAAAAATCCAATTCTTTTGTTATATGTTTTTCACTATACCTTTTTGTAATATTTCCACTGTATAATATTGTTTTTCCTTTACTTGTGTTCATCTATCCTTTGGAGGAAAGTAAAAGTTTACTCTATTAAATAAAAACTATTTAACATCAACTATTACAACAACAACAACAACAACAAGAAGCCTAGTNACCTAGTGAAATCCCATAAGTGGGGTTTGGGGAAGGTAGTGTATACGCAGACCTTACCCCTACCTTATGAAGGTAGAAAGGCTGTTTCCGAACAACCCCCGGCCCAAGAACAGTAAAAATGAAGTAATCAAGAAACAATAGCAACAACAAGGTAATAAGACAATGGAAGCAAATAATACGAGTAATAACAGAGATCCAGGGATACGAAATACAAGAAAAGTGCCAATCCTACTGAAAATAATAACACACCGTATAAAAACAAGGTACTAGGAATAGGAAAATGCCCGACTAGTACTACTACTACTACTACTACTGGTGTCTGGTAAGACAAGGCTAAACTCTAGACTGTCTATCAACCCACTATCCTAATTCTTGACCTCCACACCTTTCTATCGATGGTCATGTCCTCGGTAAGTTGGAGCAAAGTCATGTCCTCGGTAGGTTTAAGGAAGCAAATAGTCATGCCAAAAGTCAAAAAACAATGAATTGACAAAATTATGGGCCCCACCTTGCCCTCAATGGATTTTCCCACCTAGTCCAGCCCATTGCCATCCTCGGTGGAAAAGGGAAAATTTCTAGTAGTGATGCTTTTGGACAAACTTGATGTCATTGATCAAAGGTGTAACTGTTTAGGCATCAATGATGTCCTGTTTGAGATTTTCCCTAAATCAATATCTCCATTTGAACATGTTGCCTTTGTCTTCTTGTGAAGTTCATGTGTAAGTATCAATAATTCCGCGTTTTCTGGTCTGTGTGTATAAGCCTATATTCTCAATCTGCAAGTTGTAGGCAACTTCCTTATGTGCTTATGTTAACCTGGCTATTTCTTGAGGCTAGTATATTGTTGTTGTTTATAGGAAGACCGTGAGAACATTTTGCGAGCAAGGGCTTCTGGCAAGGGGGTTTTGACGTCACCCTTTAAGCTATTGAAATCCAATCACCTTGGTGTTGTTCTTACATTTGCGGTCTATAATACTCATCTCCCTCCTTATGCTACCCCAGTGCAACGCATCAATGCTACTGTTGGGTAAGTTCCACACCAGAAAGTTGGGATTTACTAGTACAGCACTTGATGTTGTCCTTGTGGTGTTCAAGTCTTTTATCCCTAAATTCTCAATCATTTTGCTTTTGCTTTGAAAAGGTACATTGGTGCTTCCTACGATGTTCCATCATTAGTCGAAAAGCTTCTGCATCAGCTTGCAAGCAAGCAAACTATTGTGGTAAATGTTTATGATACAACTAACAAGTTCGCTCCAATTCAAATGTATGGCATGGATGAGAACGACACGGGATTACTGCATGTTAGCAACCTTGATTTTGGGGATCCAGCAAGGAAGCACGAGATGCATTGCAGGTCGCATAATTGTAGTGTCCACTTATACGTAAACTTTAACGCCATGAATGTGTTACCAGTTTAAAATTATCTTTACTTTTATCACAGGTTCAAGCAGAAACCTTCTCCACCCTGGACAGCAATAGCTGCATCTGTTGGCGTCCTCGTTATCACTCTGCTTGTTGGTCACATCTTCCATGCTGCCATCAACCGAATTGTTGAAGTTGAGGGTCAGTATCAGGAAATGATGGAACTCAAACATCGTGCCGAGGCTGCCGATATAGCAAAATCTCAGGTTTGATCTACCTAATGAATCAGATTATGTTTTACTTTCTAGGTGTCATTTCATTGCGTTTACTCGTTTCATGATAACATAGTTCTGAAGTAATTTCCTATCCTCTTAAAATAGATCCATTTCTTTTTTTCATCTTCTGAAGACCCTTTCTTTTCTACTCACCTCCTTCCTTCATTTTACAGTTTCTTGCAACGGTTTCTCATGAAATCAGGACTCCGATGAATGGTGTTTTAGGTAATTAACATGCTTTAATTTTACAACTTTGCACTTAATTAACAGAAAGGGAGCTGGAAAAGGGATATTCTAGTTACATATATGCTCAGATATTGATAATAAGTTCTTCAATTTGTACAGGCATGCTTCAAATGCTCATGGACACAAACCTTGACCCTACGCAACTGGATTATGCGCAAACTGCTCATGCTAGCGGGAAAGATCTGATATCTTTGATTAATGAGGTTCTTGATCAGGCTAAAATTGAATCGGGAAGGCTTGAACTGGAGGCTGTTCCTTTTGATCTCCGTGCTGTACTTGATAATGTTTCATCACTCTTCTCAGGAAGATCTCATAAAAAAGGGATTGAGGTACAGTATCATAACTACATACTCTTTTTTTGATAAGTCAGTATTATAGCTACATAATTTTTCCATCCCTTCTCTTAGTCTCCTCTCTCTCTCTCCCTGTTTTGTTACTGGCCTTGCTCTAGCTAGTTCTTGATGCATTGTGTTTTTGTGTTATTTTCGTGGAAACAGTTGGCAGTTTATGTTTCTGATCTAGTCCCAGAAGTTGTCATCGGAGATCCAGGACGGTTCCGGCAGATAATTACGAATCTAGTTGGAAACTCAATTAAGGTTGGTTAACCTTTTCTGATATTGGCTCTACAAGAAAGAGTAGGGGCTGTTTGATAATCCACCAATTCAGTACCTATATTGAATGTTTTAAATGATTAGATGTCATACTTGTTTGATAATGGAAGCAGAAGATCACTTTATTCATTCTGTGCCACTTAAAATGCTTTACAAATTTTAAGGAAGATCATCTGTTACTAATCGCTGAATCTGAAAATGGCCATCCATCAAATGTTGCCAATTATCATTTCTCAAATAATATATAAACTAGAATGCTAAGGCAACATGTTGAACTTATCAGTTAAATAACATTTTTGGACGATTATATAGATGTATTTTAACAAATAATTTTAAAATAACTTAGTATAATTATATAATTGTATGGAAAAATTTAAGTTCACCAGTGATATAAGTGAATGTTTTCTGAATTTAAAGTTCATTAACTGATACGTATAAAATTCACGCCAGTCTTCTGATTTCAGCTTTATCAAATAGTCCTTTTCTACATTTTGTTCTTACATATCTTATGAAACAGCTATGACATTGAGTTTTATCCAGTCCCAAACTGAGGGACCCACAAGATGTGAAGGAAAATGAAGTTAGGAGGGAAAGAAAATCTTATTTTGAGAATTCTGTGTTCGTAGTTATTAATTCTTGACGAAAGAAATGCTTGTTTTATTACCTTTTTTGATAAGTATGTTTATTTCATTACTTTTAACATTATTACTATTTTTTAAATTATTACTATTATTGATATATATATATTTAACTTATTTTCACTACAACTCTTGTTTTATTTCGGCATGATGATGATATGAGTTGAGCTTAATGAAAGAAATGAGAATTCAAATTGCCGACCCCAACTTTGTTTGTGACTGAGGCGGCGTAATAGTAGTTGTTTGTTGTTTGTTTCATCACTTTTACTTCACTAAGATCTTGTTCATATTGCAGTTCACAAATGACAAAGGGCACATATTTGTCACAGTACATTTAGCTGATGAAGTGAGGAACCCTCATGATGTGACGGATGAAGTCTTGAAACAAAGCTTAACCGTTGTTCAAGAAAGGTCAAATGCATCTTGGAATACCTTAAGTGGGTTTCCTGTAGTTGACAGATGGCAAAGTTGGCAAAAGTTTGATAGGCTGAGCAGCACAGAGGAAGAAGTGGGAAAGATCAAGTTGTTAGTGACCATAGAAGATACTGGCGTGGGAATTCCTGTTGAAGCACAAGACCGTATTTTCACACCTTTTATGCAGGCTGACAGTTCAACATCTCGAACATATGGTGGAACAGGTATAGGATTGAGCATTAGCAAGCGTTTGGTGGACCTCATGGGGGGAGAAATCGGGTTTTTCAGTGAATCTGGCACAGGGAGTACATTTTCATTCACTGCTTCCTTTGCAAGAGGAGAAGAAGGTTCATTAGAGCGTAAATGGCAACAGTACGATCCAGCTGTTTCAGAGTTTCGTGGTTTAAGAGCATTGGTGATTGATGATAAAAGCATTCGGGCAGAGGTGACAAGATACCATCTGCAGAGACTGGGAATATGCGTCAACATAACTTCAACGATGCGTTCGGCATGCTCATATCTTTCTAGTTACTCTAATACTAGGTAATAAGAGGCAAAGTTGATAGAGGTCTGAAGTATCAGATGCATAAGTAGATAGAAAGTAGAACTTCTACTTAACATGCCTTTCTAAATTCCATCCATGCATTTCAGTTAATATGGTGTCGAAACTTTCTAACTTTAAAAGAATGGACAAATAGTCTATACTGTATCAGAACATTGTCACTACCCATCTTGAGTTTCTTTTACCTCCGATTACTTATTCTGGAAAGTTAGGCACGTCGGGTATATTATACTTAAGTATCTGTAACATAATTCAGGTCAAATAACCTGCAAGATGTCCGACTTGAAACTTGTTGAATTATGTGAATTCCCTAGACTAAAAGCCTAAGCTATCAGAGAGTCGATATGTTTATTTAGTTATTTCAAATCTGCAAGACAACCCCTGATGTGCTGGCTTGAGCCAAGCATGTAGAAGTTTTTTGTTGATGAGTGAAAGACTCGAACCTAGGACTTCTGCTTACTTGGAACCAATTGAATTGTATGAACTGCGTGTATCTAAAAGTTTTAAGTCATTGAAAGGGAGCATTTTCATTTGTTTGTTTTTGGTCTGTAACATAACTGACTAAATGAGTGATGTGGATCTTCAAAGTGCTGTTATTTAATGATGTTGGCGTTATTGATTCATTCAGTTGAATTTTTGCTTGTTTTGCAGTGCATCGGGACATTTAGCTGTGGTTTTTGTTGACAATGATAGTTGGGATAAGGAAACTTCTCTTACACTTTGTAATATGTTGAAAGAGCTCAGACCAAATGGCTCAACTACTGCTTTGAAAAAGCGTCCAAAAATCTGTCTGTTATGTATGAGCACTATGGAGAGAGATGAGCTCAAATCAGCTGGAATTGTGGATCACGTGTTAGCAAAGCCTGTGCGGTTGAGTGGGTTGATAACATGCTTTCAAGAAGCCATTGGCTACCAAAATAAGAAGCAAGTAACCCGAGGAAAACCTTCAACTCTTGGAAGTCTACTGACGGGCAAGCATATATTGGTGGTAGACGATAATGCGGTAAACAGAAGAGTGGCAGAAGGTGCTCTAAAGAAGTACGGGGCGATAGTGACCTGTGTAGACAGTGGAAAGGCTGCTCTAGCACATCTTAATCCACCACACAAGTTTGATGCTTGTTTTATGGACCTCCAAATGCCTGAAATG